ATATTTTAATGGTCCCAAAAAAATTGCAAAGAAAATGGCTGAACAGCGCCCCCTAGAAAGTGAAAAAAAACCCTCTCCATAAAGCTTAGTTTATCGTACAATTATGAAATTTGGTACACTTGTAGTACTCACCAGTCCGCACAGAAAAGTCTCTTGCAAGCATGGTCAATATCAAACAGGAAGTCGGCCATTTTGGGTTGAAATGGCAATTTTTAGCCGTTTTTGCCGTTTTTAGGGTCCGTTTCTGATTGGATTGCTCGATAAATTCTCGCACCATCATCTCAAAAATTGTGTCAAATTGCTCAGAAGGGATGGGCGAACAAAATGAGATGAGGATTCTGAGTTTTCGTATATGTTGAAGGGGCGGGGCCAGGCCTCAAAATTTGACTACTCGCCAAAAAAATTTAAATTGCTATAACTTCATAACTGAATGGAATAGAGTTACCAAACTTTCTGTGGTCATTCGTCATCCACCCACAAAGTAAATTGAATGGTCGGATGATGACATCACACAAGCCCCGCCCCCTCAGGACCAAAAAGATCAAGTTTTACTGTGAAAGGTCCCAAATTGCCCCATTTCACTTAATCACCACGAATTTGTATCTGGTAACTCAAGACAAGTGGGGGTTGCTTGGCGTCACTTTATGGGAGTTTTCGGCAGAGGGAGGGGCTGTGGCGGCGCGGCGAAGTCAAGCGTACCGCCGTGGCCTTACGTTTGCCTCCCATTTCGTCATTTCTAAAGATATCGTCACGAAACTTCTTGTGAGTGATCCTAGTCCGGCCCCCCAAAAGATCTGATGTGAACATCCGGTGGGCGTGGCCTATTTTCTGAAATAGCGCCCCCTAGGACGATTAAAACTGTCAGCCCCAAGCCATGCTTTGACTGAGGATTACGAAATTTGGTACACTAATGTGGTGTCTAAGGACCTACAAAAAAGTCTCTTGGAGCCAAGTGCAAAGTCGCACAGGAAGTCGGCCATTTTGGTCCAAGTGTGCGATTTAGTGGTTTTCACACACGTTGTTTGGAAAGTGATGCTCCGTCGCCCTTTTCACCAATCGCCTTCAAACTTCTGCTATATACTCTTAAGACATAGAGGAAAAAATTCAACCGTCGGATTTTAAATAAGTATAAAGGTGTGGGCGTGGCTAAGCCTCAAACTTTGACCTTTCGCCACGCCACTCTATTTTTCACAGCTCCCTATTGGACCCATTTTACCCAATCACCAGTAATCTCTGGTAAATAGCAGCAGACAAGTTGAGGTCACTTGGTCTCCAGTACTGGAAGGTTTTGAGAAAAGGCGGGGCTTTGGGAGCATGGCGAAATTCGCCATCACGCCATGGAAATACGTTTGCCTCTCATTTCTTCATTTATCGTGATATCACCTCGAAACTTGTTGTGAGTGATCCTAGTCTGACCCCCAATAGAAATGGATGGCTGAAGTTTGTGGGCGTGGCCTATTTTCTGAAATAGCGCCCCCTATGACCATTAAAACTGTCAGCCCCAAGCCATGCTTTGACTGAGGATTGCAAAATTTGGTACACTAATGTGGTGTCTCAGGACCTACAAAAAAGTCTCTGGGAGCCAAGTGCAAAGTCGCACAGTAAGTCGGCCATTTTGGTCCAAGTTCTCGATTTAGTGGTTTTCGCACACGTTGTTTGGACAATGATACCCCGTCGCCCTTTTCACCGATCACCTTCAAACTTCTGTTATATTTTCTTAAGACAAAGGGGAAAAAATTCAACCGTCGGATTTTAAATAAGTATAATGGTGTGGGCGTGGCTAAGCCTCAAACTTTGACCTTTCGCCATTACATTACTTGACTTAACAACTCCAATGTGCATGATCAGATCTATATCAAACTTTGTCCGTGTGATCAATGACCAAATCTCAAGACAACGTCATTGTGGACAGGTGACATCACCTAAGCCCCGCCCCCTGACAACAGGAAGTCTATTGTTTTATGGTGAAATGCCCATATTTGTCCTCTCTAATTTAGTCAACATGACACTAAGGTCAGGCACTGTCTTCATGATGTTGCAATGACCATTCAGATCTGATAGCTTTCCAGATAGGGAGGGGCTTTGATGCCATGGCGATTTCTGGCATGACGCCATGACCTTACGTTTGATCGTAACTTCCACAAACAGCCTCCCATCTGCACGAGACTGAACATGGCAATAAACAATCATGCCCTTTAGCCAATGAGACACAAATGGTTGGTGAAATTCGTATAATAACACCACAGCACCCCCTACACAACATTAAAACTGTGATAACTTCTACAGACGAGGTCGTAACTGCACCAAACTTGGTGTGCTCAGAGGGGATGCTCAGTCAGGGTGAGGTGCGGACGAGGTGACCGTTAGCTGTTTCTGGTGTCGGGGTGGTCAAAATTTTTGTTCCACGGACGTAACCTGGTGCCTCGGGCTGCCGGCCAGGCCGGAGCGGCGCGGAGCTGCGAGGGCCGAACGACGCTGCTTGCAGCTTTAATTAGGCCCGAGCAGCGAAGCGCTGCGAAGGCCTATTGTATCTGCTCCGTTTCTTTTTTTTTCTTTCTTTCTTTCTTTTTTTTTTTTTTTTCTTCCGCGTCTTTGGACGGCCTTTAGGGGGTCTTAGCATATCCAAAAACTCACCAAATTCTGGCCCAATATAGAAAGTGCGTGAAATTTACGTATTTCACTGGCAATGTGAAAGTTGGTATAAAAGTGTTTCAACAGCGCCCCCTGGAAAATTAAAAATACCCCTCCGCATTGACCTTTTTTCATAGTAGAGTGATAAAATTTGGTACACCTGTAGAATTCAACAATACGCACAGAAAAGCCTCTTGCACCCATGGTCAATATCAAACAGGAAGTCGGCCATTTTGGACTAAAGTGGCCATTTTTACCCCATTTTGGCCATTTCTAGGCTCTATATTTGGTTGAACAGTTTGATCATTTTTCGCACGATTGTCTCAAAAATAATGTGCGATCAAACAGAAGCGATGGACGAATCAAATGAGAAAATAAAACTGACTTTTCGTAAATACTGAAGGGGCGGGGCCAGGCCTCAAAGTTCGAGCACTCGCCAAAAAAATTCAAATTGCTATAATTTCATAAATGAAAGAATTACAGTTAAAGTAATTTGCTATGGACAATCGTCATCGCCCCCCGAAGACAAATGAATGGTTGATTGATGATGTCACATAAGCCCCGCCCCCTCAGGCCTTAAAAGGTCAAGTTTTACTGGGAAATTGTCCAAAATTCGCCCTTTGTACTAATCACCCCATATTTCTAGCAGGAAACTGAAGACAAGTTGGGGTTGCTTGGCGTCACTTTATGGGAGTTTTCTCCAGAAGGCGGGGCTGTGGCGGCGCGGCGAAGTCAGGCGTACCGACGTGGCCTTACGTTTGCCTACCATTTCGTCATTTCTAAAGATATCGCCACAAAACCTCTTGGGAGTGATCCTAGTCCAGCCCCCCAAAAAATTTGATGTGAACATCCGGTGGGCGTGGCCTATTTTCTGAAATAGCGCCCCCTAGGACCATTAAAACTGTCAGCCCCAAGCCATGCTTTGACTGAGGATTTTGAAATTTGGTACACTAATGTGGTGTCTCAGGACCTACAAAAAAGTCTCTTGGAGCCAAATGTAAAGTTGCACAGGAAGTCAGCCATTTTGGTCCAAGTACTCGATTTACTGGTTTTCGCACACGTTGTTTGGAGAGTGATGCTCCATCGCTCTTTTCACCAATCGCCTTCAAACTTCTCTTATATACTCTTAAGACATAAAGGAAAAATTTCAACCGTCGGATTTTAAATAAGTTTAAAGGTGTGGGCGTGGCTAAGCCTCAAACTTTGACCTGTCGCCACGCCACTCTTTTTTTCACAGCTCCCTATTGGATTCCTTTTACCCAATCACCAGCAATCTCTGGCAAATAGCAGCTGACAAGTTGAGGTCACTTGGTCTGCAGTACTGGCAGGTTTGAAAAAAAGGCGGGGCTTTGGGAGCATGGCGAAATTTGCCATCACGCCATGGCAATACGTTTGCCTCTCATTTCTTCAATTATCGTGACATCGCCACAAAATGTCTGGTGAGTGATCTGAGTCTGACCCCCAATAGAACTGCACAGCTGAAGTTTGTGGGCGTGGCCTATTTTCTGAAATAGCGCCCCCTAGGACCATTAAAACTGTCAGCCCCAAGCCAAGCTTTGACTGAGGATCACGAAATTTGGTACACTAATGTAGTGTCTCAGGACCTACAAAAAAGTCTCTTGGAGCCAAGTGCAAAGTCGCACAGGAGGTCGGCCATTTTGGTCCAAGTACTTGATTTAGTGGTTTTCGCACATGTTGTTTGGACCTTGATGCCCCGTCGCCCTTTTCACCGATCACCTACAAACATCTGCTATGGGCTCTTAAGACAAAGGGGAAAAAATTCAACCGTCGGATTTTAAATAAGTATCAAGGTGTGGGCGTGGCTAAGCCTCAAACTTTGACCTTTCGCCATTACATTACTTGACTTAACTCGCATGTGCATGATCAGATCGTATATCAAACGTTGTCTGTGTGATCACTGACCACATCTGAAGACAAAGATAATGTGGACAGCTGACATCACCTATGCCCCGCCCCCTGACTATTGGAAGTCTAGTTTTATGGTGAAATGCCCATATTTGTCCCCTCTAATTTAGTCAACATGACACTAAGGTCATGCACTGTCTTCATGATGTTGTAATGACCATTCAGATCTGATAGCTTTCCAGATAGGGAGGGACTTTGATGCCATGGCGAATTCTGGCGTGACGCCATGACCTTACGTTTGACTGTAACTTCCACAAACAGCCTCCGATCTGCCCGAGACATCACGTGGCTGCACCAAACACATTGATGTGGTTGTTGGTTTTAATCCCTGTAGCTCCGCCCCTTTCAGCTCACTGGTTTTAGAAAGAACACACAGTGTCTGATTAATGTCAAAATAACAGAAAACCATCTTTGTCAACCAAAGCTGACCTCACTGGGATTTTTCTGTGGTTGGTCACAACGCCCTCTAGATAAATTTAATCTACAATAACTTAAAAAAAAACGTGGTCAGAAAAGCATTAAAGTTTGTCTCTGTCATCACACCACCAGTGTGGTAAAGATAGAGTATGCCCTAGTGGTGAGACGTGTAATATAATGGTGGGCTCAGAGGGGATGCAGAGTCTCACCTCCTCAGCCCCGTTAGTGTAATTGTGAGCTTAGCTTCTTGGTGTTGTTATTCCGGCACTTAACATTTCACACTGCTGTATGTGGTTTTGTCATGGCCGCCTCCAAAAGGTTTCTGAGTGCTGTGCGAATGCAACGTGAAAATGTTCTTACTGGAAGGATGGTTCTAGGAACTTATGCAGTTGGTAAGCGCCTATAAATGCAACCTCTAACTGAACTATGTGAAAATTGTTCTTGCATGTGATCCATTTTCTCTACAGTGCAACCTACAAACTTTTAAAAGTGTAATAATTTCTACAGACAATTGGCTCTAGATAAAATATGCAGTGTAATTTACACCAATTTACACCACATTGATTTTGGTTCTCTCAAGAACAGCTCAAAGAGATTTTACGTGAATTAAAGACAGCAACATCTAGATGAATTAAAACTTGAACAACATCAACAAATAAAGTCACAAACATGCCAAAGTTGTTGTATTTTATCACACAACACTGGTAAATGTTTTTACTAGCTCAGCAAAATCAATATAGCACCATTTCCTTAAACATTGTTTGCTTTGTATGACATATGCATGATTTGATTTTTTTCACAATTTTCCACTAATATCAACATCCCATTGAAATAAATCCAATTTTTTTGATAAATTGTCTTTTTTTCCCCCCAGAAATTAAAAAACTAAAACAGAATGGTGGCTTAGCAAAAATGACAAATAGTCTCTTACAGTAGAAATTTAGAGGAGAGAAAACAATAATTAGTGACTTTGATCTCTGACATAAGTTAGATTTAAATTTAATGTTCTGATTTTTTTCCTCAGACATGTCTGAAGAAATAATCAAGGATTTAATTAGATTTTTTCAACTGTTAAATGCTATTCAAAAGGGTTTGGCTATGAAACAACACAAGTACCTTGTCTGTATTAGAAGCTTATTATTGGGCTTCTTTAGCACCAGCCTGTCTGATTACTGAAGAACCTGAGCAAGTTTAGAGGTTGGTTTATGCTTGACGCGTCCGCGAGGTCCGCACGGCTCCGCGCGGAAAAGTTGCGTCATTTTAACAACCACGCCCCTCCACCGCGTCTCCGCACGGCCCAAGATTTTCGCAACGCGCACCTCGGAAAATTTCTAACCACGCGGACGGTCGGACGCGGAAAAACATGGCGGACCGGCACGGCAGAGGTTCGTAAATACAGACATTTGTATGATTCAGCGCTCAAAGATCACCGTGATCAACATGTTGTTAATAATTCTTGGAGAGAAATAGCTCGCACTGTCGGAAAAGACGAGAACGCTGTTAAAAATGCTGAAATGCCATGTTGTAAACAGTGATTTCTACTTCTACTGTGGTGTAGTGTTGGATGCATGCCGTAGAGCTCCATGCTGCCCCGTTCAGTTTGGGAGAATATTGGCTCACCGCAGAGACGAGCCGCACAAACCATAAACACTGCGAGTTGTGAAGCGCGTTCCAGCCGCGAGCCGCATCACCGCGCGGAAAGTGAATGTGTCAAGCATAAACCAAGCTTAACCCTTCAGCCTTTATTGTAACAGCATTTCTCCACTGCGCTCATCTCCCATGAGTCCTGGATCACTCTGACGTTACCATTTGGAGGTTCGTGAGTGGCTAGACCTGCGTCAAAGTCCCACCTTCTAGTTTGATTGACAGCTGCTGTTTTCACCTCACAATCAGTTTATGCAAGATTCAAAGACCTGTGAAAAATAATGTAGATTCAGGACTTTCCCACAGAAAGAAACGTGGTTCCTAATGGCAGCATGTCAGCCACTCAGGAAGGCTCAGAGTAGAGGCTGGAAAGGTGAGCACGATCAAACCATTTTTGAGACAGGGGAGATTTGCTATATTATTGTTTGTAAAACAATGTTTTGTTCTATTGTTTTTAGATATTAGTAATGTGTTTAAAAATCACCATAAATTGTAAAAATACATAAATAAATGTTAAACTTTAGGGGTGCTAGAGATGAATTTAGGGGTGCTTCAGTACTCACAAAAGCAGGCTAGAAATGCCCATGGGTGTGATCTTATCAGTTGTCCTTGAAATCAAAATGGGTGTTTAGTTCTAGGGTGAATTGCAGCAAGTAAGATTTTAAACTTACATTTTATTGTTTTTCGCCTTTTTGAATAATAGTTTTTTCCACTGATCAACACAATTAGCAGGGCAACACAGGGATTTGAACCCTGTCCCACAAGTGGGAGACCAGACCATTGCCTTTGCTTTTTTGTGCATTTTACCAGGTAAAGCAAACCCTGCATTAAAACAGCATGTAATTAACCAGTTTAATTTTTAACATCATGCATAATTTGGTGTTGAATTGTTACATCATCAATAGTGATGAATGAGAAGCCAATTGTACAAAAGGTTTTCAGTTTAATTTCAATAAATGCCATCTTAATGCAGGAAACGAAACCTTTAGAAAGCTTTTAATTTAATAACACATTTAATTTTGATGTAAAAAAAAGACATGTTTAAAAGCTTTCCAATACATCCTAGACATTTTGCAACAAAGAAGATGACACACACACACACACACACACACACACACACACATTAAAACAATAAAATTAGTGTATTAATTGCTGATCTGGACAGAAATGTTTTTAGTTTTGATTAAAACGTGGGTGAGAGATTAATGCAGAGGACAAGGGGAAAGAGCATTCTAGAGCTGAGAGAAGGAGGGAAATGGCTAAATGTTATTTTGACTAGGTCAGTTGGGGACATGAAATTTGAAAAAAAAAAAAAAAAAAAAAAACACAGAAATGGTGAAGCATACAACAGCAGTTAGTGGTTTTTCCTACATAGGCGTGGTGCTGCACCACACCCGAAATTCTAGTGCCATGACAAATGCACGACACCAAAACGTTCCGCGCGTTATTACCCCCTTCGTTGCTCTCACGACAGCGAAATAGTTTGCGAATGTAACACTTCTCACCTATATGCATCAGAGAAATTTCAACACCCACAGTTTAAAAATCTTGCTACACTCCTGTGCGCACAATGTCCTGCAACCCCTGCTCTCACACATGGAACGCGGCAGCGAAGTTGTCCTGAGTGTGCACAACCCCTCAACAGCATCGAAACATGTACACTGCTTAAAAACAATACATCCAATATATTTCATATAGAAAAGTTCTGACAGACTATATGTACAATATATATATGTTCTATTGTCATTGCATAGATGTACAACGAAATAGATTTTGCTCTCAGTAGAGATAGCTCATGTAAGGAAAGGTAATATTAGTAAAAGTAAAGCTAAAATTGATCACACACACACACACACACACACACACACACACACACACACACACACACACACCTTTTTACATTACAAATTCTGTAGTTAGGTGTTGATCAAATCAAATGTGCTTTTTGAGGTAAACTAAAGCCGTGTAAAATAACACATGATGCCCTGATGATCACTAAAATATGTTGGAATAACAGATGCTTCTGTTATATACTTGTTGGATTTTACATAGACATGATCTATTAAAGTGCCTTTCTCGGTTGTTGGCTGTTTGACTATTTGGGCATAGCCTCTGTCAGTCAAAAGTTTTAATATTGTTGATGATTTTAAAATGTCATCATTAAAATCTCCCATTAGTACTAATGTCTCGCTTTGTACCTCCAGCCAATCAAGCAACTTTGTTAAATTTACTTTAAACAAAGAAAGGGGATACAAAGGAGGTCGATAAATGAGTCCAAGTACTATGTGTAAGTTAACAAAGTTATACACTAAACTCTCCAAGTTGACGTCTGGAGCCTGCAACATTTTAAATGCCACACCATCTGCAGTATAAAAGCCAACACCACCATGTTGTTGTTCTTGAAAAGCAATCAAAGACTCATGGGTACTAGAATAAGCTAAACCTCGTGGGCAGTTGTAAAAACTATAGCCATCAATCTGTACTGCATCTGATCTGTCTGTAGATACCCATGTTTCTGTGACAGCAATGCAATTAGGTTGCAAATGCTGTGTGCAGAAAGCTAAGTCTTTAACGTGTCGATTCAGACTTTGGACATTCATTAAAAACACAGTGAATGCAGAAGAGTTAAATCTGTCGAACTGTGAGTTTGGAGTCAAAAAAGGTGTCATATTACTAACTGCAACTGTAATGTCATCTTTACAATAGATTCGTTTTTCATCAAAGTCCTGAATTGTGAGCCCTGAAAGACTTGTTACACGGCTAAGTGCTACGTATGCTTGACCTGGTGCAAATATTTTCCTAAAACTAACAACGGCGTTTTCAAGAGTGAGTCCCTGAACTTTATGAACCGTAACCGCCCAAGCTAATTTAAGAGGAAATTGTCGACGTAATCCACCTTTAACAGTGGCTCTTTCCTCCTCGGGTTCAATAGGTGTAGATCCAGCTAAATTTGCTGACAGAGACTGGGAGGTTTTCCTCCTCTGCAAGCCGACACGATGGTCATCAAACTGAACATAAACCTTTTTAGGAAAGGTGTCATTTTCTAACATTACCATTTCTGTCAATGTACCACAAATTCCGTTTACCAAACCGTCATTGAGATCCACATTTTTACACAACATTACACGAGCACCCTTCCCCAACTGTAACACTTCTGACAAGTTAGTATTAGAAGCTCTGGCATGATTCCCTTCCAACAACTTCAGTTTGCCTGTTCTTTTATCATTAACATAATCTTTGGCTGTAATTGATATGTAATCAGGACAAACGTGACATAACTGATGGATGTTGTGATTATTTACTTGATTATTTGTTGCAAATATGTGCAATGCTGAGCTTGCCTCACCGGTTTCACACGTTTTTAAAACCTTTAAATCCTCAGGTAATAATGGTGTACCTTTTGTATGAGTTCTGATTCTATTTAGCAGTCCAGAAAACACAGCATCTTTCTGTCTAACGACTTCAGTTAACTGTACAACTTTAAATAGGCTTGACCATAAGTTGCTACCTACACCATCAGAATAGAGTGGCTTCCCTTTAACAGGAGGTAGCTGGAAGAAATCTCCAACAGCCACTACACTGACATTTCCAAAAGGTGAAAAATCACCCGTTTGTTTAATTTGACGTAATCTACCATGAACATAGGACAACAGGTTATGATCTACCATTGATATTTCATCAATAATAAGGAGCTGCAGATCACAATATTTTGTACGTAAAGAATTTAGTTTTTCTTCACCCAGAGGAGTGTACGGTAAGCGTACATCCTTTCCTATAGACAGTGTAGTGTGGATTGTTGTTGCACCTAAATTATATGCTGCAATCCCAGTAGGAGCTGCCAATACTATACATGCATTATCAGGATGTCTACAGCTTGGTGACAGTAATCTCTGCGTTTCATACTCAATTGCTCGAATTAAATGACTTTTCCCAACGCCCGCCCCGCCTGTAACAAAAACATGCAGCGGTTCAGGGTTATTACCATTAACTTTATCTACACACCACTGCCTGATTTGATTAAAAACAGAAAACTGTTTTTCATTTAAAGACCTAATCAATGCCAGACCTTCACCTCTACTCATCGTGTTTCTCTTCTCTAAATGTGCAGTTTGGTTTGAACATGGAGCCAAATCTGGGATTACTTCTGCCTCGTCACTTACTGTCGGTTCTGATTCTTTCAGTATTTCAACACACTCCAAACGTTCCATTTCAACTGCCGGACACAACTCACACCATGCATCTTCTAACATTACATCACCGACTAGATTATTCACAGCATCCAAATGATCAGATTCTAACTCAAATTTACTCCGATTTAAATCTACAACAGCCTTTACAGAGTGGTTTGTTCCATCAAAAAATCTAATTAAACCAGTTCTGTAAAATTCCTCAAAAGTTTCACAGTTAAGCTTAAGTTGACTATCATGGCGGTACGGTAAAAACAACTGCAACATGCTTTGAAAAAATTTCTCTGGGTCTTTGGTTTCAGAGAAACGCGCGTAACGAACAACCGCTGGTTTAGTCCGAGTTCTTTTTGTAACAAATCCTAAATCATTACTTAACTTTATAGGATTTCTACATTTTTCGTTTTTACTCAAAACACGATATTCTGATGCAAACGTAGCCAGGCACATATCATTGAACACATCATCATTTGGCCTCTTCTTATAACGATCAACTAATCCGGTCATCCACATGTCATCTGAAGTAAGATCCTGTGATGCTGCTTTTTGCCTCAAAACAGAAATAGGCAAACTCATTTTCACTATATTATCACCGGTGGGAACAAACACAACTTTCCTAGAACACTCCTTTAGATGCATGTTAGTTAGCCTGTAGACTGCTTCCTGCGCACAAACATCCCGATTATGAAGATAAACATTGCCAAGACTCTTCAAGGCCTCTTTTGCACTAAGATTACCATCTTTGGCTGCTTCTCTTTGAGAATTAGCAAGCAGAAGGCCAATTTCCCGTTCACTTTTAGACATGTATGATATTATGTATACACAGCACGCATAAGCATCGACGCAATACTGGATATCAAGATTAGCATTCCAAGCTTTTAACAGCAACTTGCTATACTGATTAATCCAGATTTCATTAACTTCCCTTTTCAAAACAACATGTGTATTTCGACTAAATCGTTTATATGCCATTTCAAATAGTTCCTGACTGATACCTAGGCCCTGAAACAGACCTTCTACACTGTTATATGGACAGTCTTCACTAGAAATAGCAGTCTTCACTTTAGTTAAAATGGCACTTGCTACTTCTTTGTCCATTTCCTGTTTACGACCTTTATCTTGAGACGCACAGGCACACTGTACAGTGCTATCTGTTTTATCACACTTGCAACTCTTCACTGCATCTTGATACTTTTCACCGCGGCTAATAAAAGTTCTAACAGATGCGGGTCGTGGAAAATTAAAACGACAAACAGTTTTTTTCTTTCTACAAGTCTTTGAATGCCGTTTGGAGTGCTGCTGGACAGATGAGACAACTTCATGTAGTGAATCGTCTTCAGAAGGAAGTTCACATGTCACATATTCATCAACAAATGCAATGACCTCCTCATCTGTGTTCTTATCTAAAATGGGAGCACCAGAAACCCAGAAAAGGCAATGACAGTGAGGAGAACCACGCTGCTGGAACTCAACACGATAATAATAATCTTCTATTTTACCAATGGGATTGGCAGGAGACATTAGCACTTCCCTTAAGAAGACATGCCATCTAAAATCAAACATTCGGGCAGCAGTTACTGGATTCCTACGTAGGAGGTCACATTTATCAGCCCACTCCAGCTGTTCCACTGTCTCTGTTCTGCCTTCCTGTTTCAAAATACTATAAAGAAGGTTAGTCCACCTCAAATCTGCCGACGAAAATGATGCGAACCAAGTAGGTTTGCCCAACATTTTTACACAGGCCAGGAGGTCTCGCTGTGCAGATTGCCAAAAAGCAGGTGTGCCGCGAATTGGTTTAAGAAACCGGTAGCCATCATCAAACTCTAACAGCTTATTCAAAGAATCCTGATCCTGTATCAAATTACCCAACTTCTGAGATTCACCGCTTTTACCTTTACGCAAAGCTATAGAAACTTTGGACACAACTTGCTCTAGTTCAGACATGTACTGTGCAAAAAATATATATTCTACATTGTTAGCAAATCGACCATCGACATGAAGAAGCCTGTTGTTGAAATACCGATTCAGAGTCAAACGAAATTGTCTGCTTTCATAGTAAGTATTCGATCCTGAAGGAAACAAGACGGGAAAACATTTTGCTTCATTTGTAAAATCTGAAAGCAATTTCACTGGATTGTTACCTTCACCTGGAGCTAAATTTAATATGTTATCCACATACTGGTCCAATGCTTCTTGTCCTATATCTACTGGCATGAGACAGGTGTCCTGAAACATACAGTGCTGTTGTCTGTCATGCAATAACTCATCTTCTCCATCTATGCAAGTATCTTCATCTTTACTAGAACCACTATCGTCTTCCAAGACCGATGACTCATCTTCCTGAGTAAAAGTGTTAATCCAAGACTCATTGAACTCTACATCTTTGTAATGCAAATTATGATGTTTTAAATACTGAAGAGCTTCCTGAACATGCTGTGTGTCAACATACTGATAATCATAGTGTCCTTTATATGTCAATTTACGCTTTAACTTTACAGGTAATAAAGACCCCTCCATGTTGGTACGTGGTAACAAACTGCACGTTTCCACTATATTTGCAGGAACACAACATATCGGGCCATGAACCCCATTCTGACCACCTTTGGGCAGAGCCAACATTTTCATAAATGGTATATTCATCGCTATTAAATGTTGCTCTAATGTATTTAAACATGCCAGTTGAGGTGGGATGGGATCAACAGTCAGCCTGTTGATTGAACTTTCTGGGGGTATCTGACATTTACTAATTTTATAATGACACGTGTAACAGATGTACAGTTTATTTCTACATACATTCAATTTGCAAGGTAATCTACACGCATCATTGCATTTGTGTAGATGATTGTCACTTATACATTTATCTGCTATAAGTGACATTTCTTTGGTTTTTCTATAGTATTCTTGATTAAAATTTAAGACCTGATGTCTAAACAACAACCGTGAGCAGACACAACACACAAAATCAGGTCCATCTTTCACCTTCTCTAAAAACTGATCTACAACAAAATCAAAGTTTTGTGAATTTACTTTAATCAGCATTCTTTTATGCTGGATACTTTCTATTAAACATGTCTTATGTTTAACATTAAGGTATTTCTTTCTACTCAACTCTTTCATTTTGTCTTGATGAGCCAAATTATGATGGTAGTTGAAAACGGCCCTCCGTCTAACTTTGTCTTTGTGAGCCAAATTATGATGGTAGTTGAAAATGGCCCTCCGTTTAACTTTGTCTTTGTGAGCCAAATTATGATGGTAGTTGAAAATGGCCCTGCGTTTAACTTTGTCTTTGTGAGCCAAATTATGATGGTAGTTGAAAATGGACCTATGTTTGGCCCTCTGTTTAACTTTGTCTTTGTGAGTCAAATTATGATGGTAGTTGAAAATGGACCTATGTTTGGCCCTCTGTTTAACTTTGTCTTTGTGAGTCAAATTATGATGGCAGTTGAAAATGGACCTATGTTTGGCCCTCTGTTTAACTTTGTCTTTGTGAGTCAAATTATGATGGTAGTTGAAAATGGACCTATGTTTGGCCGTCTGTTTAACTTTGTCTTTGTGAGTCAAATTATGATGGTAGTTGAAAACGGCCCTCTGTTTAACTTTGAATTTGTGAGCCAAATTATGATGGTAGTTGAAAACGGCCCTCTGTTTAACTTTGTCTTTGTGAGCCAAATTATGATGGTAGTTGAAAACGGCCCTCTGTTTAACTTTGTCTTTGTGAGCCAAATTATGATGGTAGTTGAAAACGGCCCTCTGTTTAACTTTGTCTTTGTGAGCCAAATTATGATGGTAGTTGAAAATGGACCTATGTTTGGCCCTCTGTTTAACTTTCTCTTTCTTAGACAAGTTGCAATGGTAGTTAAACAAAGCCATCTTTTTCACTTTCTCATTATGTGCAAGAAGAAATTTGTATTTAAATTTGGTCGTGCTGATCTTTTTCATTCTGTAAGCAACATGTTCCTTGTATGCATTTTTCTTCTGACTTTTTATTTTGTCTTTAACTGCACTTATCGTTTTATAATTAGAGGCTTCTGCATGAGCCTTATTTTGCTTTAAATATCTGGAAAAACTCTTCCTCGTTTTTACCTTTTCCATGTTTGGGTCAGCATTTACCTGCATCATAGTTGACCTGCATTTGTTTACGTTGTCTGACAAAGAATCAACTTTACAAAACCCAAAGCATGTTTCTTTATTACCCAGTCTTATGCAAATAATGGGTTCAAAATGATTATTACAGTTTGACAAATATAGTCCCTCAGTGACGAAATTACCAGCTTGAGAACTATATTTGACCCACTCTGTGCCATTGTTGATAAATATGGGTATCCCTAAAACACTGGCTGTAGTTCTAAATTCTACATCTGTAGCACAGTGACCGACATAATTCATCTGTGACTTTTTTATGTATTCTGACACAGAAGCATGTTCTTTTCCCAGAAACTTCTCACACTCTTCAGCATTTTTGGACATATAAGAAACAACAGCGAGTCTGATCTTACGATGGCCCTTCTGTGACCCACTAATTACATGAGCTACAGCTCTAAAAAAACTGTTACCATCTTCAATAATATGTTCTGTCTTACACACATTTCCTAAAGGCCCACCTGATGTGGACTCTTGGGAATTGTGTTTCTCAAAATCAATTTTCAACCGATTACACAGAGTTTTACAAAAATCTGCAGACATAGGAGTAAATAAAGTATTTGAATGAACACCAACACCATCTGTATCTATGGAACTCGGCTCAAGCGTCACAGTTTCTACTGAACATTTTAAATGTTCTGTAGCAGCATGTCGAGTATTGTATCTACCAGAAACACTATCTACAGGGCCACAATAACCATAACAAGTTCCTGTGTTAGGTTGTTTTACACAAACCACTGTCTCATAATGGTTACCATTACTATTCTCCAAATAAACAGCCTGCTGTGAAAAGATGCTGTTGGAAGTATATTTAAGCCATTTATCATTACAGTAAGTAAATATGTTAATGCCAAAATAATCAGCAGCAGCTTGAATTTCCACTTCAGTTGCCCAACTGCCAACGTACTGCATCCTGGATGAGGTGAGGTACTGCGAAACTGAGGAATACTCACTTCTTAAAATGGTTTGATACGTTTGAGGATTCTTTTTTAACTGATTGACCAAAGCAAGACGGATTTTTCTATGATATTCCTGGGTGCTATAAACAGCTTGACTAAGTGCTCTAAAAAAACAGTTTCCATCTGCCACTATTGATTGATTCATGCATGGTACACCCAATTCACCAATCACACGAGATGATTCATCAACCATTGCCGACTTCACATTCAGACGTTTACTCAACACCTGTGACACGTCTCTAGAAATGGGATTGAAATGAAAATCTTTAGTGCTAACATCACTAACAAAAACAACAGGGTTTATGTCGGTGTCATCTGTCTGTAACTTTTTTGGTTCCGAGAGTGGAAATGACTCTTCACGCCTAACCTCCTTTCCTGTTGTTGGAGGCAACCTTGTTTGTTCAGAAACATTTTTTAATGTGTCCATCTGAACAATGTTAACTCCACTAATCTCAAATAACTTCTGAGTTCCATTTAATTTACTGGCAAACCTCAGAATATATCTAAAAACATTGTCAAGACTACTAAAATATAGAATTACACTTTTACCGTTTGGGTCAACCATTCCATCTGCAGAACGAGCATGTGAATCAACAATAGCATAATGTCCATCTTCACTAAGTAAAGCGCAAGTATTGTCTCCAAGTGTAATAAAACATGTTTCATATTGTGTACACATCTTATTCAAACAATCCCAAAGACTAGTGTACACTCCAGCATTTATAAGTTCGCCTTCAACGATATCTACATTTCCACAAACAAAATCCCCATAATTCAACTTAAAAGTCTGTTTGCCCATAACGATTTCCTTTGGCAATTCTGGAACAGAAAGAAACACATTCCCAGCACTTATTAGATTACTGTCACGTAAATATGTGTACAGCTCATCGCCCAAAACAACAACATTGTCTAACATGGCAAAATCCCATGAAAAAACACTTTGTATGTTGTGCTTAGTTAAAGCAACAAGACTTATTGCTGCACACTGAACGCCGCCATATTTAAAACGCCCATCGCTCTGATTAAATGATCCTGTAAGTGAGCTTAAAATTGTATCATTGTTTACAATACTGTTGTCATCATCAACGTTAACCACACTTGTGCTACATGAAGGAACAGGAGATGATTCAACCATCGCAGACTTCACATTCAGACATTTACTCAATGCCTGTGACACGTCTGTAGAAACGGGACTGAAATGAAAATCTTTAGTACTAGCATCACTAACAAAAATAACAGGGTTTATGTCAATGTCATCTGTTTGTTCAGATACATGTTTAAATGTGTCCATCTGAACAATATCCACTCCAGTGATCTCAAATAACCTCTGAGATCCCACCAGTTCACTAGCAAACCTCTGAAAATGTTGAAAAACATTATCAAGGTTCGCAAAGTACAGAACTACACTCTGTCCTGTCGGGTCTACCATGCCGTCTGCGGAGCGTGCATGGGAATCTACTACAGCATAACGTCCATTATCACAAATGATAGCACAAGTATTGCCACTTAATGTCATAATGCAAGTTTCATGCTGTGTGCACATCTTCTTCAATCCATCCAGGAGAGGAGTGTACACACCAGCATCTATTAACTCGCCTTCAGCTACATCTACATCTCCTAAAACGAAATCCCCATAAACAAGCTTAAAACGCTGTTCTTCCATGTCAATTTCCTTTGGCAAGTCTGGAACAGAGAGAAACTCATGTCCACCTCTAATCTTCTTGTTGTCGCGAAAATCTGTGTACAGCTCATCTCCTAACTCAACAACATTATCCAACACGGCAAAATCCCAAGAGAAAACACTCTTCTGTTTGTGCTTTGTTAAAGCAACAACAGTAATAGCTGCACACTGAACTCCCCCATATTTAAAACGCCCATCTCCCTGGTGAAATGATCCTAGGACAGAGTCTAAAACTGTATCATTGTTGTGTAAAATTGTTTTATCTTTATCAAAATTATTTACAACAGGATTTTGAACAGTTGTCTCTGGAACTAGAGACGACAGCAAAACCTGTGAACGCACGCAAGAAGGGGTGTTAGCAGACTGACCTCTGGGTGATGCATGCGCATGATGGCCAGAAGGAAGCATCACAGCATGGGCAGCAACAGACCCAGAGACAGACCCAGGACAACCAGATGCCTCCTGATGGTGGGGTGAAGGCGGCTGGTCACAGTCCAACACCTATACAGAAGAAATTAAAGGTCAATACATCGTCAATAAAGATTAGTTTAGATTTTATGTTTGAAACACACGCTTCTTACCTCCTTCCTAGACCGAACAGACTCCACCTCTGCAAGAGGATTTATGCAAGGTGTGGATGCAACCTATAATTCAAGAACAACAACGGTGAAGAAAAATAACACCACAATGTATTTGTATGCCAGATAATTTAATGAATCAACCTCCTGCTGGACACGCCTAGCTGCTTTCTTAAAATGTCGCACAGATGTAGTCTACAAACAGAAAATAATACGGTTAAGTACAATATTTTCAAATATACCATACAGACAGCCCATATTACAAGCACCAGGAACAACATTACACTTTACATTAAAAGATAATAATAAACTTTTGCTTTAAAGCTACTTGTATATCTGTGGGACCATCCGCTGGAGCAATCGTGTCCATGGCAGCCAGAATTGAAGGTGAGAACCTAACGGGATTCAGGGGGATGAAACACTCCTTCAAGGCCACTGAAGTGTCATCAGCCTATTGAAGAAAATTCACCACATATTATCATCTAATCAAAATTCTTTGAAAAAGATCAATCAAAAACATTCACAAACCTTAGAAACAACCACTCGTTTCTTGGGGGAATTAGAAGTCTTTTCAAATTCCCCTGAATGGTTCCTCTGCAATGGTAAATAAAAGAAAACACATTTAGAAGCATTACTGGCCCAGTTGCCTAAAATTATAAACATTTTACAATATTTATACTTTATAAAGTCTCTCACCTTCCCGCTAGGTCTCACAAACGTCCATTCGGAAGGGCGTGGAGGTGGAATGCGTTCCACACCCTTCACAACCACACGGGGCACAATACTCGCTTTCTGCGGACGAGACACCTGGTGCTGCACCAGTGGCTTTGGTGCGTGTGTCTCCAAGAACTGATAGGAGGCATTCCACATCAGTTGCGTGAGTATAGGCATCCCGTGATTATCACTGAGGTGGATCTGCAACCACAAACACGAACAAAAGAAAATACAAATTTATCATCTCAAACTTAAGAACCTTTACCTTGTTTTCTTCCAAGCAATATACTTACACCATCACGGCACCACAGTTTAAGACGGTACCTGGGTAGGTGATCGTGGATCGGCACATAACTTACACCTTCGAAGCAGAAAGAAAAAATTCATGTAAAGTTATACATTGTGATTGTTTGATACCTAAGAGTAAATAGCAATAACGCTTGTCGTTAATACTACCGTTTCATCTAATTATGTTGCAACTTACCAAGCTTAGCCGATCTGCGGTGGTACTCCTGCTGAAACAGGTCTTGACGCTCCCAGGAACCAACTAAACGGGGAATCATGGAGGTACAGAAAACCTAAAAAAAAAAAAAAGAAGAAAGAATACAATTATTTTTAAAGATGTACGTTTACTGTCATTTCTCATACCTTCAAAATTACACAAATCAGCCTCTCACCTTAGGCCAGCGACTGAGAACAGCCAAAAGGTACCGCTCAAATGCATCCCCTGCCTCTTCAACTGTTCTGCTGGCCGTAAGGTTGTTAGAAGGAGCCATGACGCAAACAGCATCAGGCTCCCGAGGTAACACAGCCTGTGAAACCTCAAGGCGCAGAAGATCTGCACAAGCTCCTGGAGTGGACATCACACCAAAAGCGAGGCCGCCAACCGGCATAGGGACTATGCCGTCTGCCACGGACCTCAAGTGGGAGTCCCCAACAAGTAGGATGAACTAAATTAGAAAAATTAATAAATACATTTCAATATAAAACAATCTGTATTTCTATGACATTTCATACAAACGGCAATGCAATATGCTTTTCAGGAAGAAAGAGATCACATTAAACAGTCAAAGTTTACAAACAATAAAACATGAAATGGTAAAACTAATCACAGAATACACCAACATAAATACAAATAAAGATATGTAAAAATAACTGAGCAGCTTAAGTTCTAAATCACAGATTGAGAAGCACCGACTAAAAAGGAAGATGAACACAACTAGGTTTTCTATTAAGATTCAAAAGTTGGTAGACTTGAGGCACATGTCAAAAAGAAGCCGATTCAGTCTGTTTGCAGCACTGTAACTGATAGCGGCTTCAACACCATCTGATCGTTTCCTTAGAATCCCAGAGTACTGCTAGATAGTATTGGAAGAAAATCTATATTTATATTTTAAATATTTGTGGACATTACACTCACTTTCTTCTCAGGAATCTCATCTGGAAGGACCAACTTGTGAGCTTTGTTAGAAATCACACTGGTCGGCCAACGACGAACTCGATGACGAAAGCCAGTTCCAGAAACTTACAAAACAAAAACACACACAAAAATTAACAATCTTTTTGGCTAATAATTTTTCATCTTACATAAATACAGTATAGATTAAATGAATTGCAAAACACTACAATATTTTGTTCTGCGAAATAATACTGCAATACATACAATTAGCATCATCATTGCTGTGCGTTGGAATCCCGATACGAATAGGCGGAGCTGGACGATTGCTGCGCTTAGCAGCATCCGCCTTGCGTTTGGACTCTTTGCCAGGCATAGTGAATGCTGTTTGAAACATAAAATACATGACAGCACTATTAGAAAAGCAACACAAACACTATGGATTTCTATGTTATCATGTGTCTGTACTCAGTAAAGACAGAATTAGACTCACTCACTCACACCTTTTAGAATCTTATGCAACCATCAATTTGCTAAACTTATATAAATGTAAAAACAATCCTAAATTTTAAAGAGCAAGTCACCCATGACCACATTCTTACTCAACTCCCACTTCCTGTTTGAAAAATGCAACAAATGCTGTTGTCTAGCAGACAGAGAGGGTAGAGCCACAAACAAATACACACACTCACAACATTGTGACATCATAATCTACCATCTAACATCACTGTGTACCTCTTAGTCAATAGCTATGACAGATTTAAATTCAAATGCAGTGCAGAGTTTTTATCTGACAACGGCACAACACTGACAGTTTTAGGCAGAAAATTAAAATCTTAACTAAAATGCACTAAAGTGCAGAACTATTGACTGCGCATTTCTGTAGCACGATTAGACACACATTTATATAGTTTATCAGAAAAAAAGTTGATTTGGGGGCAACTTGCTCTTTAAATGAGTTAATCACAGTATAATCTAATTTAAAGGATAAAAATTCATAACTTGTGTGTGACATCTATGACAAAATACATTAACATAATTATTACTACTTTACTGATAACCCCTGAACAAGGAATCATAATATAAAAATGAAAATATCTAATCAAACCCCAAGAATGAAGTTTTAAATCATGCTAAATTTCAAACTATTGTTTAAAAATATCAAAAGTTATTAAATGTCAAGTTTGATTAGTACTTACTTGCACTTATGAAAGTGCACATACACCTGCTGTATTTTATATAGAATGCTTAGACTAATTTAAATAGTCAGCAATACATGTACTAAAAAACATTTATTTATAACTGCATTGTATGAAATATTCAGTCACAACATATTTTTTAATTTAGTCTTAAACAATGCAACTTTAATAGTTTAAACACCCCATTGTTATCAGTCAAACTTTTGAATAGTCTTATGGTATTTACATTATTTTACTTAATCTCAGTTTAGCTTTAAGTACTGTAACTTTTAATAACGTTTTACTTATTTCTACATTAAACTTCGCATGACTAAAAATAAACTCACAATATTACATTATTTTTATTATAATTTTTCCCCCGTGTCCTGTCTGGCTGTGAAGCAAACAGAATTGATGTCTGAATGTTGGTGAAAAGCCTTACAGATTTACTCTCAGGTGGAGCATCAAAGCTAATGTCACGTCTGATACTTTAAACTTTATTGCTTTTGAATAATTTGTCATTCCGACCAGACACGGAATCAGAGGTGAAAGATAAAGACAAAGACAAAAGGTGGGGGGAGAAAAAGGGGGTGGGGGTCCACAAAAATAAACAATAATGAACAAGAGTCTGCTTCTAGGCCTGCAGAAAGAGAGAGAAAAAATGGGACACACAACAACACAACAGGAGCAAGCCATCACTGTGTCAACTTGAAGAAATACAATCACACGATAATAATAAATCATAGTGCATTTAGTGGCAACGACAGCGTTAAGACATGTGTGGAACGTGCCCAACCCCATACTTATGAGAGCACCGTGTGAGCACTTGTGTGTGTACACGCGCTTGTTTATGTAAGATTTCTCTATAAAAGCATCCAATAGAGAGCGTGAGGGGCCACAGATCTGCCCCCAAAGATGTGTAGGAGACTAAGAGAGCTCCAAGTCCCAGAGATCCAGCCGCTGCCCCAGAACACAAAACCGTCAGACAGCAGAGCGCTGCTCACAACAGGTGACAACAGCCGGTACCAGTCGCTCGTGTACGTCAAAGCTCTTTCATAAGATGATAATCAATAAAACGATTTATATAAAGTGGATCCAGAAGCTGTAGCCCGTCTCTGCCTACAATATTTTGATATTTTACACCCTGTTGGTGGTTTTACTGAGCAGGTGCCACTTTTGTCATACGTTTCTTTTTAAAAAACATGTTTAGACTTCAGAATACAAATCCAGGCTCTGTCACGTTTGATTGTTGTAATTAAACTTTGTAGGTGGGGAAGGTCAGAAAAGGATCCGATCATTTTATTTTTCCCTCATTTATAGTGACAGAGATAATGGCGCAGTGCGCCTGCCTCTGGTGTTAATCAAGTTTAATTTGATCTATTTTCACAAGAAAACAGAACAGTTAAAAGCAGGGCTTGTGTTGACCGGACAGTTCCCGTATTTGGCCATTTATTTTGACGGAGAAAGAAAGAATTACTCCGACGCACGCAGACGAACTGACACTTTATTCGTTTCGCAAATCGCAGATGTTGCTAAATCACTCAAGAAAAGATTCCCTTCTGAACATCTGAGCTGGACACCGCTCAGTGCAGCTCACTGTCAGCATGTACATAAGGTGCACAGCGAGCTGAAGATGTGGAGAGGGGCTTGGAGATCGTTGCAGAACCATGCAGGAAGATTCCTTCCACTGAAGCGAGAGTTTTCCAAACCCGGTTTCTCAGAGAGACTTCTCACAGAAAATGTTCCCTGATGATGAAACTTTGGCTGAATTGTGCTTGTTCCCAGTGGCGGTTCTACATGGAATTACTCCCCGGGCAAGTCCCCCTTTGAGGTATCCGTGTCATACATCAACTTTTTGTAAACCAACTCTGTTTTTTAAGCGGAAGTATTATTTGACCAATCAAATGTAGCCCTTCTGATATGCAGCCAATCAGACGGGTCCGTTCACGTAATACGCCCGCCCCCTACGTAGACCCTTACCCCAAAATTCCACTATCTCTGCTCTGCCCCCCGCTTTCCACTGCCGCTCGCTTCCCTTGTTCGTCATGCTGGCTCAGATTAACGAACTCACTTTGTGCTGAGGTTTCTGTAATCAGTGTTGCTTTCAAACGTGAACGTGAGTCCGCTCGGTGTCATTAAGCAGCTGATAATAACGGGGTTGACTCCGACACGTGCCTGTGAACCAACCCACCGTTAGCCCCAGGCTCCAGTTAGCTTCCAGCTAAAAGGCTACAGCACTCTCCTCCCAGTCCCACCCTGCTAAAGAGGGCCTGGAAAAGTTCCCCCACACATCAAAGTGATTTTTCATTTATGATCTTTTATAACCTTGTTAATCAGGATAGTTGATTTGCTGCTGCACATACACTGTCAGTCAGAAGCTCTGCTAGCCGGTTATCTTAGAGGAGCTAGTTCAATTTGTTAGCTTGTTATCAGAGTCATAGTTGCAGTTTCATCATCTGAGCTGCTTTTTGAGATCCAGGTAAACTTGTTCAATTTGGGGTTAAAAACAAACGTTTTCACATATTTTCCATGTAGTTTTTTGCCAGTTCCTCTTCTGAAAGGTAGACAATTGTTTTTCTCTTTCCCTCAGAAAATCTTAATATTCTCCTAGTTTGGCCCAGCACAGTTCACTTCCCAATTACAGCAACAGCCTTATATCATAACCACATAAGTGGAGAAAATGTTCAGTAGCAATGAGAGAATTTGCTGTTGCATTTAAGTGATGTTAACTATTATTTAACATTTAAACTTATTTTCTGTTTTTTTTTTATTTATTCAAAAACCCTGGTAAGGGATGTTTTCCTGTATTTGGAGCATCAGAAAAAGTTTTATGGTGGAGGTGATGTTTTAAAGTCACTGAGAAACTGCCTGCATGCAGTTTGTTGTTTTGCTGCTAATACAGTAGCAGGTGCAGCTGCATATTTTTTCAATAAAAATGGTATGCTGTAATGGAATTCATGCATTAGTTTTTGTTTGCTTTGAACCCAGAGCAGACGTCACACACCAGACGACATCAACACTGCATACTTTAGTATTTGTTCATCTATCGTGAGTAATATCGGTATTGCAAAATTAAGCACTGTTATCGAATATCGCAGGTTTCCCTAATATCGTGCAGCCCTACTAAATAGCAAAATTATTTCACACATAACAAACTAAAGATAATCACTACAGCATTACACTTAGAACAGAAAACACAAACTAAAATTAAAACCTAACCTTGATGCAAAGTCATCAATAATGTCAACATATGAAATCTGCTCCCCTACTGAGTGATTGATACTAATCAGAGCCAGGTTAGTCAGCCGCCCCTGAAACATAGGTGACCTCAGGTATGACTTGATCAAGTTTTGAAAAGCTCCTCTCAGCTTGAGCCACAGTGACTGGCAGAGCAGTCCAAAAGTTGGGTTAGATCTCCAATAGATCTTTATCATGATCCCTACCACCCACAAATGAGTTTCTGGCTACGCTAATGGTGACTTTTGACAGAATTCTCTGAGCTCTGCAGCCATTACACTTTTCACCTCGCGCACCCCCTAGCGGCAGCTCGCGCACGCACCACACTTTGGGAATCCCTGATCTACACGACTGAAGGAAGAAATGACGTAGCAGCTGACCGCCATCTTAGATGGGTACCCACTCACATCATTGAAGTTAAAAAACCCACCCAAAATGACGGAAACAGCGCCATGTTTAATGGGAAGCCATTCAACACATTGCATTCGTTAGACGGACAAGTTCCCTTGCATTTGAAGACTGAAACACCCACCCAAAATGGCGGATGGGCCATTGCTTCTCAAACGCACATGTAGCATTTACGTCTTTATTGCTATGCAGAAAAATGTTCAAGTATTGACTATTAAATAAAACGTGACAAAAATGACCCACAAAACGAATATGTCTACAACTTTGTAACATACTTCAGCAATCAATATTGAAACCGTTACATTCTTCTGCGTCAGTGCGGAGACACACGGAGCACTTACGCAGTCAATGGACAGAAATCACAACCGCTCAACAGGAAAAGGAGCAAGCACACCTTCCGTTATTTCACAATAAATCGATAACAAAAAGCGTTATTTTTTGTTTCATATGCACAGGTTTAACAACTTTTAACAACTATCAATGGCGGTTGAACTTTAAATGCACAAAATAAGCCATAAACACAGTTTCCACTATCAAAGTAGTCACACTTTGTGGATCCAAACACTGCTGATCTCTCAACAAAAAAGATAGGCAGATTAGCGCACTGAGCAAACACTTTCACTCTCTGTGTAACTGAATCCACACCATCCAACCAGTTAGCTTTACTCGGTTCCAAATTAAATCACAGGGATAATAAAACTGCTTGCTTAAAGATCTGCACAAGAAATTATTTATCAAAGCATTCATTACTCACCATGACAAGAAGTTATTTATCAAAGCATTCATTACTCACCATGACAAGAAGTGAACAAGATGAAAACAACTAAAAATGCTTAAAAATAAACAAACATACTAAAACAAACGACAGAGAACAAGAAACGCAACAGATAAAGATCCAAACAAACGTACGTGTGCACTCTGAGAAGTCTTACTAAAAAAGACGTTAGATGCAGTTCAAATGACACATATATAGCCAAACTGTGAGCCAATCGGCGGGATGGAAAACATCACGTGGAAAAAAACTCCCAATTAGATTGAAGTTTATTCAACACACAATGTACTATCGTCCAATCAGTAAGCCAGACTCGGAAATTTCAAAATAAACCAATCAGTTTCTTGAACGACAGACCACGTTACATCCATGTATGGTTTCGGTTTTACATGAGACCGCCCCCTCACGAAGCCGAAGATACGTGGACTCAGCTTTGATGATGATGGGCAATAGAGCTACCGCCAAAGGCTTTCGTTAGTGCTCGGTAGAACTCGGAGATTCTCGACTCCAGCACGTTTTTGGCCGTCACTCCTCACGGCCATCACGCAGACGTAACAAACATGGACGCCAGTGCGCCTACAACCAGCAGCAGCATGGATACCGGATCTCAGCAGCCAATGAATTCAGTTCGGTCTCTTCTCCAATATCCGTTCAAGAGGAGAACTATGGTGGAAAAACTTAATATCAAAGAGCTTGGACCAGATCAGCCCGACGTAAAGATAAGCCAGCAGGAGGAGGAGAGAGGTAAACTGTACACACGAGGCTTCGGGAAGGCTTGGCTAGCTGGATGCAATCACGCTAATGCGTTATTTTGCTTTCCAAACGACTGTGACAGATGAGGCATGGATTGAGTCAGGAGTTACGGACATGAAACATTTTTCTGAGAAGGTGAAGAAACATGAGTTATCCCGGTCACACATGGACAACACGGTGAAGCTAGCTATGCTAGGCAGAGCTAACATAGCCATGCAGATAGAGACGAGGGACGCAGGCTTGCAGTGAATAAACACAATGAAGAAGTGGATCAGAACCGGCACATTTTGTCCAAGAGAGAGTTGTCAACACAGTGTATGAGCACAAGGATGACCTCCTCAGATTTTTCCAGATGATCAGAGACTCGGATGACTTTAATCCAGTCACTGAGAGAGAGGCAGGAGGCTTTGTGAGACTGCTGGAGGAAGATTACGGCTTTCTGCTGGCATTGTGTGTCACAAGATCATGCCACATGTGGACAGCTGCAGAAGAGGAACATTGACTCTGTCTCCATCACAGGGGTCATCCAGAGCTTCACCAACAGCATGCAAAAGATCAGGTACATACTTGTTTATTTAATATTATTCTGATTAAATTCTCCAGTATGTTAGTTTCACAAACAGTAATGTGGATGTGGACCATATATGGTCATGTTATTTTATGTGCAATTTAATGCAGTATTTTTCAACCTTGGTCCGCAAGGCAGCGTGCCAGTAGTCAGACATACGTGGATTAATCCCTTTGTCCAATAATGTAAGACAGGAAATAAAAGAGCTGTGCTTAATTCAAGAAATAGTGAAGTTGTGCACAAAACTCAAAAAGCACAAGTTTGTTTAAAAAAAAATAGCACAGCCCCAACAAAAATATTTTTCACCAGCCGCCACTGCTGGCAAGTGACACCTTTTTTCAAGCGTATCTGTTGGATGGCCTGGCCAGGTGTAACGAAGACCATGTCAGCAGAAGGGAGATAAGAGCCTCACCCCTAAAGCAGCCTCCTGAGGCATGCTGCAAACCAGCTGTCACAGGAAGTTCTCGGGAAGAGCTGTGTGAATTACACAGGGCCACAGGCGTACACAGGTGTGTTACCTGAGCTGATGCACGAGTCAGAGGAGACGAAGTTCAGCTTTGACCAAGCTCTGATTAGATTAATATTTCATGCTAGCTAATTAAAAGTCAACAATGTGTTTGTTTGCTGAAATTGTGTCGTGACAGTGACTTACAGTTAAAACAAACGTTAATTAAAGTTAAAGTTAATTTTTGATTGATTGCTTTCAGGGAAACTCATTGGGGTCAAGTATATCTACGACCAAACAGGAGATGTTCTTGAGGACCGCAGAGTGGCAAATGCAGCATTGGAGACAGAGGACGTAGCTGTGGCAGAAGATGAGGACTTTGAAGAGTCTGAGGATTTTGTGGATCTCACAGTTCCCATTTTGGAAACCATGCTCCAGACTCCTCAACCTGCCTGTTCACATGACTTCTTGACATCACCTGCATCTGAACCCTTCCTAGAGATAGCATCTGTAGAAGTTAAACATGCTCCTGTGGATGCAATAAAAGAAAGTGAGTGATGTTCATGCCCAAATATCACATAGATGGGAAAGTCAAGATGGATTCTTTTATTATGTAAAGTCACATGACATAAGTGACTTTAGAACCAGGTTACTGATTAATTTTGTTCTATGAACCTGTGTCTGAAAGTGTGTGTGTGTGTGTGTTTAATAAAAGGTTTTGATACTAATGTTTAGCTGCATCTCCATCAAGGCTGCCTGATTTCCACTCTGATGACACCTGCTCCAGGGACATCAAGGAGACAGGTAAGTTAGATATGATTTTGCTACTTTTGCCCATTTCTTTTATTATAAATACGTGACAAACAACATTTAGGACTCCGTTGGCCCCGACAACACATAAGGTTTCAGAGCTGTGCAGAATTTGACTGAAGCACTCTTCAGTCTGAGAGAGCACAGCCTGGCTCTCACCCTTGAAGACTCCAATAACATTGTCGCTCTTTGGAAAAGATTGTCAAAGCACAAGAAGGAGCGCACTGTTTTTTAACCACGCCACCAAACAACCCTGAACAAAGGCCGTTTTAGAGCAACAAAAAAAATCGTTGCACCAGGCGTTGAGTCGACAAAACGGTATATTGCTCACAGCTGTTCAGCCACTGATGCATATTCTTCTACAGATCTTGCCTGAGTCCATTTCTCTTACTTTTGTCCTCCTAGGTTCTATTCTGGAGCACGCATTCCTGGACAGTGGCCGGATTGTTGAAGCCCTTTTTGTCCAGCTCTGCATGGCTTACCCAAACCCAAAGACAGTGGAAGGTGTGGCATTTTCAAGGTGGACCCTCATCATTCGTACTTACAAGCACATTAGAGAGTGCATCCTGAACAACATCACAATCATGGAGGAGACTACCATACAGTTGCCAGAAGTCAACAAAACAACCCTCACACCGTGGTGAGTTAAAACTGTGTCATAATGAATAATGATGGACTCAAATTAGCTGACCCAGAGACAAACTGAATAACTTAAAGAAGATTTATTCACAAGCGAGATACACAAAAAGTACTCCACAGGAGGATCAGTGGAGTAATGATAATTCACTTGTAGTGCTCACTCCACTGGAGGTACGGTCTGCTCAGGGGGGTGTGAGAGAGAAGGGTGAAGATTAGATGGATCCACAAATTAATTGTAATCTTTAAAGGGGTCAAAGGATGGTAGCCTACCACAACACCACATCCTCCATGCTACAGCACCTGACCAGGAAACATCCACGTGTAAATGTCACTTCTGCAAGCCGACTCGGGGGTCCGCTATATATTCTGCGGACGCTGTGCGACTTTCTCGTTTGTAGCACTCAGTTTCAGCTCACACTGTGCGTCTGGTAGCAACACGTCGTATCTAAAAATGTGCTAAAAATAGCAGTTTTTACACAACACGTCGGACTTTTTATTGCGTTGTTATTGATGTCTGTTGCTCCTCGAGATTGTTGCAGGAGGACACAGTTATTTATGAGACTGGCGGAGGAAAACGAAAAAGTAAATAAATGTTTAGGGATGGGTACCGAATTCTGTACTTTTTAAGGTAACAACCGAATTCCACAGTACCGAACGAGCACCGATTCACTTCATTTGAAACTGTGCCTCGTTTCGGTACCCGTCCTTCATAACGAGAACTTGCCTAGACAGCTGCGCATGCGCAAGAGCGTTATGTCATCGGTCGCTGCAAGCGAGTTGTAAACAGCAGCATGGTGAAACCAGCAACAACAATCTAAGTGAAACATCCTCATCTTAATCTGCTCCGGTAGGTAAATAAAATGTTTAAGATAACGTTAACTTGATTTGTTAGCTTCCGTTTCACTAATGGTGCGTTCGCTTTCTCCTCGGAACTCCAAAATTCCAACTAGAAGAACATGAGCGCGCTCTAAAGTTTGGCTTCACTTTACTAAATGCGACGGGTGATTGGGTGAAGATGAAACCAGCGACAACGATTTAAGTGTGAGGCATCATCGTTTAAATCTGCTCCAGCAGTTAAATAAACTGTTTAAGATAATGTTAGCTTGATATGTTAGCTTCCATTGCCACCATTGTTATCATCTAATGGTGCGTTCGCTTTCTCCTCGGAAATTCTAACTTCCCAGTAGGAAAAATCAATGAAAAAGGACGGCAAAAGGAATGAAGATACACAGTAAATTTAGTTCACAGTAAAGATGTTTGCTTCAGTTTAATTATCAACTTATAAAACTACAAGGACGATGTTAAAATACAAACAGTTGTATGTTATTTATCGTGACATTTATCAAATATGGTTATAAATTAAGAAAAATATATACTAAATTATAAATGAGAATTAAAAATATTAAACACTCAAAAGTATCGAAAACTGGTACCGTTAAGTACCGGTATCGATTCGTAGGTACCGGGAATTAGTACCGAATCGATTCAAATACCAAAGGTACCCATCCCTACGCGGCAAACATGCTTTCTCAACAATCCTTGTTATTGTGTGAAAAAAGTGTAGAAATTAAAACGGACGTGTGTTAATAGGCAAACAGCTGGCGAGCCGTGTTTGAGCATGCGCCGTGAACGGTTCTGGTGCTGGCAGATTCTCTCACGAGGGGAAAATCGGCTCAGGTTGCATACTTATTTTTTGCACAGGCATTTGTTTACTGTGAAGTAAAGTTGAAGTGCTGAAGTTTTGAAAACTAATTCTGAATAAAACTTGAAAAATAACTGGCAATTGCTTGCTCATTTTAAGAGGTCTTTCATATTTTATAACATGCTATTTGATTTAATGATTTACAAAAGCAAAAGAGTTGAGTACTCGATTAATCGATAAAAGATTCGATAGAGTTCTCGATTACAAAAATATTCGATAGCTGCAGCCCTAAATTAAATAACCACGAATTTAACATTCATCAAAATGATGAGCGCCATTTAAAGGATTCAGTTTATGCACAACTTTAGTAGAAATGAGGTGTACCATGACATCTAAAGAGCTGCTGTTGACAGTATTCTGAAGCTTCATGTTTTCCAAGAGCGTTAATATGTAACCTTTTGTCTTGACCATTGAATTAGTCCATCTGGCCTTTAACTGAACATTTGCATTGAAAACCCTTTCAGATTAGCCATGCAGCGGTCTTGGCCACACAAAATAGTAGAAAACCTTTTTCCACTCTAGACTCTAGGCTCTCCTCAGCCGACGTACTTCTGGTATGTGATGCATGCGCAGTTTACACCAGAACCATGATTTGAACCAGTTGAACACTACAGAGGTTTGCATTTCTTCACATTAAAACCCCCAGCTATCGAGACGTGTTAAGCAAGCTGGCGCTTCTTATTAATTTTCGACCAAGGCACAGCTTCACACCTCCTTTCTGTCTGATGTAATAATAGGACGCCAAGTTCATAAAAATAGCATCACATATTTAAATATAATTAGGCACAGATGAATCAAATAATCTATAATCAATAAGCCATCAATTTTGAACTGAGAAGACCAACTATAATTAACATGAAGCCGTTTTGAACTGTACCATCTGATGAAATGCTTATCCTGCTCAGTGTGCTATTTAAATTCTAGCTTGTCAAGGGAAAGAGCCTTTGATCAACCGTTCAAGGAGGAAAAGACAGGAAAAGAAAAGCTTTTGCAAAACATCATTACATATTCAACATTTCCTGAGCATTTAATGTGATAATCTTTTATTTCTTAACTAAACTGATGTTTTCTAGCAGGGGACTTCAGATTAAATAACAAACACAAGTTAAACCTGTTCCTAACTCAATCTACCTGCTGCTGGAGTTTATTACATGTCCACCTGAGGGAGCTAGAGCTGCATCAGTGCATTTAGTGTGTACGAAATATTAGAGATTGTGATGACCTTGTTATTTACCTGCTAAGAGACTGTAGTTAAAACCTCATGGCGATTTCTGGCGTGACGCTGTGACCTTACGTTTGACTGTAACTTCCACAAACAGCCTCCGATTTGCCCGAGACTGAACATCACATCACCAGTGTGGTAAAGATAGAGTATCTCCTAGTGGTGAGACGTGGAATGGTGGGCTCAGAGGGGATGCTGAGTCAGGGTGAGGTGTGGACGAGGAGGCCGTTCACGGTTTCTGGTGTCGGGGTGGTTGACTTTCTGTTCTTCCAGACGTGCCCTGGTGCCCCCGGCTGCCGGCCAGGATGGAGAAGCGCGGAGCTGGGTTTGGAGAGTGTCGGGGATGGAGCGGAGGGGGTGCGGAAGGAGGGCGAGCAGCTTCGCTGCGAGGGCCGAACGACGCTGCTTGCAGCTTTAATTAGGCCCGAGCAGCGAAGCGCTGCGAAGGCCTATTGTATCTGCTCCGTTTATTATTATTAGGCCCGAGCAGCGAAGCGCTGCGAAGGCCTATTGTATCTGCTCCGTTTATTAGGCCCGAGCAGTGAAGCTGCGAAGGCCTATTGTATCTGCTCCGTTTCTTCTTATTATTATTCTTTTTTCTTCCGCGTCTTTGAATGGCCTTTAGGGGGTCTTAGCATATCCAAAAAGTCACCAAATTCTGGCCCAATATAGAAAGTGCGTGAAATTTACGTATTTCACTGGCGATGTGAAAGTTCGTCAAAAAGTGACTGAACAGCGCCCCCTAGAAAGTGAAAAATACCCCTCTCCATAAAGCTTAGTTTATCGTACAGTTATGAAATTTGGTATACTTGTAGTACTCAACAGTCCGCACAGAAAAGTCTCTTGCAACCATGGTCAATATCAAACAGGAAGTCGGCCATTTTGGAGTAAAGTGGCCATTTTGACCCCGTTTTGGCCATTTCTAGGGTCTATATTTGGTTGAACAGTTTGGTCATTTTTCGCACCATCGTCTCAAAAATTGTGCGAGATCGAACAGAATCGATGGACGATTCAAATGAGACAATAAAATTGACTTTTCGTAAATACTGAAGGGGCGGGGCCAGGCCTCAAAGTTCGAACACTCGCCAAAAAAATTCAAATTGCTATAATTTCATAAATGAAAGAATTACGGTTAAAGAAATGTTCTGTGGACAATTGTCATCGCCCTCCGAAGACAAATGAATGGTCGATTGATGATGTCACATAAGCCCCGCCCCCTCAGGACTTAAAAGGTCAAGTTTTACTGGGAAATTTTCCAAAATTCGCCCTTTCCAATAATCACCCCAAATTTGTAGCGGGTAACTGAAGACAAGTTGGGGTTGCTTGGCTTCACTTTATGGGAGTTTTCTGCAGAAGGCGGGGCTGTGGCGGCGCGGCGAATTCAGGCGTACCACTTAGGCCTTACGTTTGCCTCCCATTTCGTCATTTCTAGAGATATCGCCACGAAGCTTCTTGTGAGTGATCCTAGTCTGGCCCCCCAAAAGATCTGATGTGAAATTCCGGTGGGCGTGGTCTATTTTCTGAAATAGCGCCCCCTAGGACCATTAAAACTGACAGCCCCAAGCCATGCTTTGACTGAGGATTACGAAATTTGGTACACTAATGTGGTGTCTCAGGACCTACAAAAAAGTCTCTTGGAGCCAAGTGCATTGTCGCACAGGAAGTCGGCCATTTTGGTCCAAGTGCGCAATTTAGTGGTTTTCGCACACGTTGTTTGGAGAGTGATGCTCCGTCGCCCTTTTCACCAATTGCCTTCACACTTCGGCTACATACTCTTAACACATAGATGAAAAAATTCAACCGTCGGATTTTAAATAAGTATAAAGGTGTGGGCGTGGCTAAGCCTCAAACTTTGACCTGTCGCCACGCCACTCTTTTTTTTCACAGCTCCCTATTGGACTCCTTTTAACCAATCACCACCAAACAGTGGCGAATAGCAGCAGACAAGTTGAGGTCACTTGGTCTATAGTACTGGCAGGTTTCGAATAAAGGCGGGGCTTTGGAAGAATGGCGAAATTCGCCATCACGACATGGAAATACGTTTGTCTCTCATTTCTTCAGTCATTGTGACATCGCCATACAAGTTCTGATGAGTGATCCTACTCTGACCCCTAATAGAATTGGACAGCTGAAGTTTGTGGGCGTGGCCTATTTTCTGAAACAGCGCCCCCTAGGACCATTAAAACAGTCAGCCCCAAGCCATGCTTTGACTGAGGATCACAAAATTTGGCACACTAATGTAGTGTACCAGGACCTACAAAAAAGTCTCTTGGAGCCAAGCACAATGTCGCACAGGAGGTCGGCCATTTTGGTCCAAGTACTCAATTTAGTGGTTTTCGCACACGTTATTAGGAGAATGATATCTCCTCGCCCTTTCCACCGATCACCTTCAAACCTCTGCTATATACTCTTAAGACATAGAGGAAAAAATTCAACCGTCGGATTTTAAATAAGTATAAAGGTGTGGGCGTGGCTAAGCCTCAAACTTTGACCAGTCGCCATTACCTTATTTGACTTAACAACTCCCATGTGCATGATCAGATCAATTTCATACTTTGTCTGTGTGATCACTGACCACATCTGAAGACAGTGACAATGTGGACAGCTGACATCACCTAAGCCCCGCCCCCTGACTACAGGAAGTCAACTGTTTTATGGTGAAATGCCCATATTTGTTCCCTCTAATTTAGTCAAGATGACACTAAGGTCATGCACTGTCTTCATGATGTTGTAATGACCATTCAGATCTGATAGCTTTTCAGAAAGGCAGGGGCTTTGATGCCATGGCGATTTCTGACGTGACACTGTGACCTTACGTTTGACTGTAACTTCCACAAACAGCCTCCGACTTGCCCGAGACTGAACATCGCATCACCAGTGTGGTAAAGATAGAGTATCTCCTAGTGGTGAGACGTGTAATGGTGGGCTCAGAGGGGATGCTGAGTCAGGGTAAGGTGTGGACGAGGAGGCCGTTCACGGTTTCTGGTGTCGGGGTGGTTGACTTTCTGTTCCGCCAGACGTTCCCTGGTGCCCCCGGCTGCCGGCCAGGACGGAGAAGCGCGGAGCTGGGTTTGGAGAGCGTCGGGGATGGAGCGGAGGGGGTGCGGAAGGAGGGCGAGCAGCTTCGCTGCGAGGGCCGAACGACGCTGCTTGCAGCTTTAATTTTTCTTTTTTTTTCTTTTTTTTTCTTCCGCGTCTTTGGGTGGCCTTTAGGGGGTCTTAGCATATCCAAAAAGTCACCAAATTCTGGCCCAATATAGAAAGTGCGTGAAATTTACGTATTTCACTGTCAACATGAAAGTTGGTATAAAAATGTTTCAACAGCGCCCCCTGGAAAATTAAAAATACCCCTCCGCATTGACCTTTTTTCATAGTAGAGTGATGAAATTTGGTACACCTGTAGAACTCAACAATACGCACAGAAAAGCCTCTTGCACCCATGGTCAATATCAAACAGGAAGTCGGCCATTTTGGACTAAAGTGGCCATTTTTACCCCGTTTTGGCCATTTCTAGGCTCTATATTTGGTTGAACAGTTTGGTCATTTTTCGCACGATTGTCTCAAAAATAGTGTGCGATCGAACAGAAGCGATGGACGATTAAAATGAGAAAATAAAACTGACTTTTCGTAAATACTGAAGGGGCGGGACCAGGCCTCAAAGTTCGAGCACTCGCCAAAAAAATTCAAATATCTTTAATTTCATAAATAAAAGAATTACATTTAAAGTAATTTTCTATGGACAATCGTCATCGCCCCCCGAAGACAAATGAATGGTTGATTGATTATGTCACATAAGCCCCGCCCCCTCAGGCCTTAAAAGGTCAAGTTTTACTGGGAAATTGTCCAAAATTCGCCCTTTCAACTAATCACCCCATATTTGTAGCAGGTAACTGTAGACAAGTTGGGATTGCTTGGCGTCACTTTATGGGAGTTTTCTCCAGAAGGCGGGGCTGTGGCGGCGCGGCGAAGTCAGGCGTACCGACGTGGCCTTACGTTTGCCTCCCATTTCGTCATTTCTAAAGATATCGCCACAAAACCTCTTGTGAGTGATCCTAGTCCAGCCCCCCAAAAAATTTGATGTGAACATCCGGTGGGCGTGGCCTATTTTATGAAATAGCGCCCCCTAGGACCATTAAAACTGTCAGCCCCAAGCCATGCTTTGACTGAGGATTTCGAAATTTGGTACACTAATGTGGTGTCTCAGGACCTACAAAAAAGTCTCTTGGAGCCAAGTGCAAAGTTGCACAGGAAGTCAGCCATTTTGGTCCAAGTACGTGATTTACTGGTTTTCGCACACGTTGTTTGGAGAGTGATGCTCCATCGCCCTTTTCACCAATCGCCTTCAAACATCTGCTATAAACTCTTAAGACATAAAGTAAAAAATTCAACCGTCGGATTTTAAATAAGTATAAAGGTGTGGGCGTGGCTAAGCCTCAAACTTTGACCTGTCGCCACGCCACTCTTTTTTTCACAGCTCCCTATTGGACTCCTTTTACGCAATCACCAGCAATCTCTGGCAAATAAAAGCTGACAAGTTGAGGTCACTTGGTCTACAGTACTGGCAGGTTTTGAAAAAAGGCGGGGCTTTGGGAGCATGGCGAAATTCGCCATCACGCCATGGCAATACGTTTGCCTCTCATTTCTTCAAATATCGTGACATCGCCACAAAATGTCTGGTGAGTGATCCTAGTCTGACCCCCAATAGAATTGGGCAGCTGAGATTTGTGGGCGTGGCCTATATTCTGAAATATCGCCCCCTAGGACCTTTAAAACTGTCAGCCCCAAGACAAGGTTTGACTGAGGATTACGAAAATTGGTACACTCATGTAGGGTCTCTGGACCTACAAAAAAGTCTCTTGGAGCCAAGCGAAATTTCGCACAGGAGGTCGGCCATTTTGGTCCAAGTACTCGATTTAGTGGTTTTCGCACACGTTGTTTGGACATTGATGGCCCGTCGCCCTTTACACAGATCACCTTCAAACTTATGCTATGTACTTTTAAGTCAAAGGGGAAAAAATTCAACCGTCGGATTTTAAATAAGTATAAAGGTGTGGGCGTGGCTAAGCCTCAAACTTTGACCTTTCGCCATGACATTACTTGACTTAATAACTCCCATATGCATGATCAGATCTAATTCAAACTTTGTCTGTGTGATCACTGACCACATCTCAAGACAACGACAATGTGGACAGCTGACATCACCTAAGCCCCGCCCCCTGACAACAGGAAGTCTATTGTTTTATGGTGAAATGGCCATATTTGTCCCCTCTAATTTAGTGAAAATGACACTCAGGTCATACATTGTCTTCATGATGTTTTAATGACCATTCAGATCTGATAGCTTTCCAGAAAGGGAGGGGCTTTGATGCCATGGTGAATGCTGGCGTGACGCCATGACCTTACATTTGACTGTAACTTCCACAAACGGCCTCCGATTTGCCCGAAACTGAATATGGCAATGAACAATCATGCCCTTTAGCCAATGAGGCACAAACGGTTGGTGAATGTTATATAATGTCACCAAAGCTGACCTCAATGGGACTTTTCTGTAGTTGGTCACAGCGCCACCTAGATAACGTTATCCTTCGATAACTTTAAAAAACATGGTCAGAATAGCATTAAAGTTGGTCACTGTCATCACACCACCAGTGTGGTAAAGATAGAGGATTCCCTAGTGGTGAGACATAAAATGTAATGGTGAGCTCAAAGGGGATGCTGAGTCAGGGTGAGGTGCGGACAAGGTGGACGTTAGCCGTTTCTGGTGTTGGGGTGGTCGACGTTTGTGTTCTGCGGACGTGCCCTGGTGCCCAGGGCTGCCGGCCAGGCCGGAGCGGCGCGGAGCTGCGAGGGCCGAACGACGCTGCTTGCAGCTTTAATTATTTATTATTTTTCTTTTTTTTTTCTTCCGCGTCTTTGGGTGGCCTTTAGGGGGTCTTAGCATATCCAAAAAGTCACCAAATTCTGGCCCAATACAGAAAGTGCGTGAAATTTACGTATTTCGCTGGCAATGTGAAAGTTGGTAAAAAAATGTTTCGACAGCGCCCCCTGGAAAATTAAAAATACCCCTCCGCTTTGACCTTTTTTCATAGTAGAGTGATGAAATTTGGTACACTTGTAGAACTCAACAATACGCACAGAAAAGCCTCTTGCACCCATGGTCAATATCAAACAGGAAGTCGGCCATTTTGGACTAAAGTGGCCATTTTGACCCCGTTTTGGCCATTTCTAGGGTCTATATTTGGTTGAACAGTTTGGTCATTTTTTGCACTATCGTCTCAAAAATAGTGTACGATCAAACAGAAGCGATGGACGATTAAAATGAGAAAATAAAATTGACTTTTCGTGAATACTGAAGGGGCGGGGCCAGGCCTCAAAGTTCGAGCACTCGCCAAAAAAATTCAAATTGCTATAATTTCATAAATGAAAGGACTACAGTTAAAGTAACTTTCTATGGACAATTGTCATCGCCCCCCAAAGACAAATGAATGGTCGATTGATGATGTCACATAAGCCCCGCCCCCTCAGGACTTAAAAGGTCAAGTTTTACTGGGAAATTTTCCTAAATTCGTCCTTTCAAATAATCATCCCAGATTTGTAGCAGGTAACTGAAGACAAGTTGGGGTTGCTTGGCGTCACTTTATGGGAGTTTTCTGCAGAAGGCGGGGCTGTGGCGGTGCGGCGAAGTCAGGCGTACCGCTTAGGCCTTACGTTTGCCTCCCATTTCGTCATTTCTAGAGATATCGCCACGACACTTCTTGGGAGTGATCCTAGTCCGGCCCCCAAAAGAATCTGATGTGAACATCCGGTGGGCGTGGCCTATTTTCTCAAATAGCGCCCCCTAGGACCATTAAAACTGTCTGCCCCAAGCCCTGCTTTGACTGAGGATTACGAAATTTTACACACTTATGTGGTGTCTCAGGACCTACAAAAAAGTCTCTTGGAGCTAATTGCAAAGTCGCACAGGAAGTCGGCCATTTTGGTCCAAGTACTCGATTTAGTGGTTTTTGCACACGTTGTTTGGAGAGTGATGCTCCGTCGCCCTTTTCACCAATCGCCTTCAAAATTCTGCTATGTACTCTTAAGACAAAGGGGAAAAAATTCAACTGTCGGATTTTAAATAAGTATAAAGGTTTGGGCGTGGCTAAGCCTCAAACTTTGACCTGTCGCCACGCCACTCTTTTTTTTCACAGCTCCCTATTGGACTCCTTTTAACCAATCACCAGAAATCACTGGCAAATAGCAGCAGACAAGTTGAGGTCACTTGGTCTATAGTACTGGCAGGTTTTGAATAAAGGCGGGGCTTTGGGAGCATGGCGAAATTCGCCATCACTCCATGGAAATACGATTGTCTCTCATTTCTTCAATCATTGTGACATCGCCACACAATTTCTGATGAGTGATCTTACTCTGACCCCTAATAGAATTGGACAGCTGAAGTTTGTGGGCGTGGCCTATTTTCTGAAATAGCGCCCCCTAGGACCATTAAAACTGTCAGCCCCAAGCCATGCTTTGACTGAGGATCACGAAATTTGGCACATTAATGTAGTGTCTCAGGACCTACAAAAAAGTCTCTTGGAGCCAAGCGCAATGTCGCACAGGAGGTCGGCCATTTTGGTCCAAGTACTCGATTTAGTGGTTTTCGCACACGTTATTAGGAGAATGATGTCTCGTTGCCCTTTCCACCGATAACCTTCAAACTCCTGCTATATAGTATTAAGACATAGAGGAAAAAATTCAACCGTCGGATTTTAAATAAGTATAAAGGTGTGGGCGTGGCTAAGCCTCAAAATTACTTGACTGAATAACTCCCATGTGCATGATCAGATCAGTTTCAAACTTTGTCTGTGTGATCACTGACAACATCTGAAGACAGTGACAATGTGGACAGCAGACATCACCTAAGCCCCGCCCCCTGACTACAGGAAGTCTACTGTTTTATGGTGAAATGCCCATATTTGTCCCCTCTAATTTAGTCACCATGACACTAAGGTCATGCACTATCTTCATGATGTTGTAATGACCATTCAGATCTGATAGCTTTTCCGAAAGGGAGGGGCTTTGATGCCATGGCGAATTCTGGCGTGACGCTGTGACCTTACGTTTGACTGTAACTTCCACAAACAGCCTCCGATTTGCCCGAGACTGAACATCACATCACCAGTGTGGTAAAGATAGAGTATCTCCTAGTGGTGAGACGTGTAATGCTGGGCTCAGAGGGGATGCTGAGTCAGGGTGAGGTGTGGACGAGGAGGCCGTTCACGGTTTCTGGTGTCGGGGTGGTTGACTTTCTGTTCTGCCAGACGTGCCATGGTGCCCCCGGCTACCGGCCAGGATGGAGAAGCGCGGAGCTGGGTTTGGAGAGCGTCGGGGATGGAGCGGAGGGGGAGCGGAAGGAAGGCAAGCAGCTTCGCTGCGAGGGCCGAACGACGCTGCTTGCAGCTTTAATTAGGCCCGAGCAGCGAAAGCGCTGCGAAGGCCTCTTGTTTTTGCTCTGTTTATTATTATTTTTATTTATTATTCCGGTGCCGCTTTGAATGGCTTTTTGGGGACCTTAACATACCCCAAAACTCACAATATTTTGCATACTTGTCAGGCCTGGTGAAAAATTTGATATTTTAAAGGTCCCAAAAAAATCGCAAAGAAATTGGCTGAACAGCGCCCCCTAGAAAATGAAAAAAAAACCCTCTCCATAAAGCTTAGTTTATCGTACCGTTATGAAATTTGGTACACTTATAGTACTCAATAGTCCGCACAGAAAAGTCTCTTGCAAGCATGGTCAATATCAAACAGGAAGTCGGCCATTTTGGGTTGAAATGGCGATTTTTTGCCGTTTTGGCCGTTTTTAGGGTCCGTTTCTGATTGGATTGCTCGATCATTTTTTGCACGATCATCTCAAAAATTCTGTAAAATTGCTCAGAAGAGATGGGCGAACAAAATGAGACAATAAAATTGACTTTTCGTAAATACTGAAGGGGCGGGGCCAGGCCTCGAAGTTTGACTACTCGCCAAAAATTTTTAAATTGCTATAACTTCATAACTGAATGGAATAGAGTTACCAAACTTTCTGTGGTCATTCGTCATCACCTCACAAAGTAAATTGAATGGTCGCATGATGACATCACACAAGCCCCGCCCCCTCAGGACCAAAAAGGTTAAGTTTTACTGTGAAAGGTCCCAAATTGCCCCATTTCACTAAATCACCACAAATTTGTAGCTGGTAACTCAAGACAAGTGGGGGTTGCTTGGTGTCACATTATGTGAGTTTTCGGCAGAGGGCGGGGCTGTGGCGGCGCGGCGAAGTCAGGCGTACCGCCGTGGCCTTACGTTTGCCTCCCATTTCGTCATTTCTAAAGATATCATCACGAAACTTCTTGTGAGTGATCCTAGTCTGGCCCCCCAAAAGATCTGATGTGAACATCCGGTGGGCGTGGCCTATTTTCTGAAATAGCGCCCCCTAGGACCATTAAAACTGTCAGCCCCAAGCCATGCTTTGACTGAAGATTACGAAATTTGGTACACTAATGTGGTGTCTCAGGACCTACAAAAAAGTCTCTTGGACCCAAGTGCAAAGTCGCACAGGAAGTCGGCCATTTTGGTCCAAGTACGCGATTTACTGGTTTTCGCACACCTTGTTTGGAGAGTGATGCTCCGTCGCCCTTTTCACCAATCTCCTTGAAACGTCTGCTATATACTCTTAAGACAAAGAGGAAAAAATTCAACCGTCGGATTTTTCAAAAGTTTAACGGTGTGGGCGTGGCTAAGCCTCAAACTTTGACCTGTCGCCACGCCACTCATTTTTTCACAGCTCCCTACTGGACTCCTTTTACCCAATCAGCAGGAATCTCTGGCAAACAGCAGTAGACAACTTGAGGTCACTTGGTATCCAGTACTGGCAGGTTTCAAAAAAAGGCGGGGCTTCAGGAGCATGGCGAAAATCGCCATCACGCCGTGGAAGTATGTTTGCCTCTCATTTCTTCAGTTATCGTGATATTGCTACGAAACTTCTGGTGCGTGATCCTAGTCTGACCCCCAAGCGACATAGATATCTGAATTTAGTGGGCGTGGCCTATTTTCTTAAATAGCGCCCCCTAGGACCATTTAAACTAATAGCCCCAAGCTATGCTTTGACTGAGGATTACGAAATTTGGTACACTAATGTGGTGTCTCAGGACCTACAAAAAAGTCTCTTGGAGCCAAGCGCAAAGTCGCACAGGAAGTCGGCCATTTTGGTCCAAGTGCGCGATTTAGTGGTTTTCGCACACGTTGTTTGGAGAGTGATGCTCCGTCGCCCTTTTCACCAATCTCCTTCAAACTTCTGCTATATACTCTTAAGACATAGGGGAAAAAATTCAACCGTCGGATTTTTCAAAAGTTGAAAGATGTGGGCGTGGCTAAGCCTGAAACTTTGACCTGTCGCCACGCCACTCTTTTTTTCACAGCTCCCTACTGGACTCCTTTTACCCAAACACCAGGATTCTGTGGCAAACAGCAGTAGACAAGTTGAGGTTACTTTGTCTTCAGTACTGGAAGGTTTTGAAAAAAGGCGGGGCTTTGGGAGCATGGCGAAAATCGCCATCACGCCATGGAAATACGTTTGCCTCTCATTTCTTAAGTTATCGAGATATCACCTCGAAATTTGTTGTGAGTGATCCTAGTCTGACCCCCAATAGAAATGGACAGCTAAAATTTGTGGGCGTGGCCATTTTTCTGAAATAGCGCCCCCTAGGACCATTAAAACTGTCAGCCCCTAGCCATTCTTTGACTGAGGATTACGAAATTTGGTACACTAATGAGGTGTCTCCGGACCTACAAAAAAGTCTCTTGGAGCCAAGTGCAAAGTCGCACAGGAAGTCGGGCATTTTGGTCCAAGTACGCGATTTAGTTGTTTTGGCACACGTTGTTTGGAGAGTGATGCTCCGTTGCCCTTTTCACCAATCGCCTTCAAACTTCTGCTATTTACTCTTAAGACATAGGAGAAAAAATTCAACCGTCGGATTTTTCAAAAGTTGAAAGGTGTGGGCGTGGCTAAGTCTCAAACTTTGACCTTTCGCCATTACTTTACTTGACTTAATAACTCCCATGTGCATGATCAGATCTTTTTCGAACTTTGTCTGTGTGATCATTGACCATATCTTTAAACAATGACAATGTGGACAGCTGACATCACCTAAGCCCCGCCCCCTGAATACAGGAAGTCTATTGTTTTATGCTGAAATGCCCATATTTGTCCCCTCTAATTTAGTCAACATGACACTAAGGTCATGCACGGTCTTCATGATGCTGTAATGACCATTCAGATCTGATAGCTTTCCAGATAGGGAGGGGCTTTGATGCCATGGCGAATTCTGGCGTAACGCCGTAACCTTACAATTCAATTTAATGGTGAGCTCAGAGGGGATGCTGAGTCAGGGTGAGGTGCGGACGAGGAGGCCATTTGCGGTTTCTGGTGTCGGGGTGGTTGACGTTTCTGTTCTGCCAGACGTGCCCTGGTGCCCCGGGCTGCCGGCCAGGCCGGAGCGGCGCGGAGCTGCGAGGGCCGAACGACGCTGCTTGCAGCTTTAATTATTATTTATTATTCCGGTGCCCCTTTGAACGGCTTTTTGGGGACCTTATCATACCCCAAAACTCACGATATTTTGCATACTTGTCAGGCCTGGTGAAAAATTTCATATTTTAAAGGTCCCAAAAAAATCGCAAAGAAAATGGCTGAACAGCGCCCCCTAGAAAGTGAAAAAAAAACCTCTCCATAAAGCTTAGTTTATCGTACAGTTATGAAATTTGGTACACTTGTAGTACTCAACAGTCCGCACAGAAAAGTCTCTTGCAAGCATGGTCAATATCAAACAGGAAGTCGGCCATTTTGGGTTGAAATGGCGATTTTTAGCCGTTTTTGCCGTTTTTAGGGTCCGTTTCTGAGTGGATTGCTCGATCATTTTTCGCATTATCGTCTCAAAAATTGTGTAAAATTGCTCAGAAGGGATGGACGAAAAAAATGAGATGAGGATTCTGAGTTTTCGTATATGTTGAAGGGGAGGGGCCAGGCCTCAAAGTTTGACTACTCGCCAAAAATATTTAAATTGCTATAACTTCATAACTGAATGGAATAGAGTTACCAAACTTTCTGTGCTGATTTGACAACCACCCACAAAGTAAAATGAATGGTCGGATGATGACATCACACAAGCCCCGCCCCCTCAGAACCAAAAAGATCAAGTTTTACTGTGAAAGGTCCCAAATTGCCCCATTTCAGTTAATCACCACAAATTTGTAGCTGGTAACTCAAGACAAGTGGGGGTTGCTTGGCGTCACTTTATGGGAGTTTTCGGCAGAGGGCGGGGCTGTGGCGGCGCGGCGAAGCCAGGCGTACCGCCGTGGCCTTACGTTTGCCTCCCATTTCGTCATTTCTAAATATATCGTCACTAAACTTCTTGTGAGTGATCCTAGTCCGGCCCCCCAAAAGATCTGATGTGAACATGCGGTGGGCGTGGCCTATTTTCTGAAATAGCGCCCCTAGGACCATTAAAACTGCCAGCCCCAAGCCATGCTTTGACTGAGGATTACGAAATTTGGTACACTAATGTGGTGTCTAAGGACCTACAAAAAAGTCT